TCTCTTTTATTCCATTCGATTGAAGAAGCATAAATCTTTAGCAATTCACACGACATGAAGTTCACAAAGTCACATGGAGCAGGACTACTAGGTTGGACATGATGAACAGGATGCATAGGATAAACAGGATGGTTTTAAGTCACTACAAACAATACAAAAGAGAAATCAAACTCATACAATCAATTCATCAATAAACATCAATATTGTATTCAATCCAAATAGGGACTAAATATCTAAACAATTCAAATAAACAAATTCAAGCTATACAATTGGCAAACAGACTTACTTAACGCATCCTAAGGAAAGGACTCAAAGAACATGTTTGGGTGTCCATTCAAACACCCACACCTCACCAATGCAAAAGGGACAAAGGAAGGAAGTAAGGTCTACTTATAGACCTTAACCAGGGGAATATGGGTAATGTAGTGCACCATATATGGAAATGCAGTTTACTAGGAATTATGGGAGATGTAGTACAAAGAAAAAAATAAGAAAAATTAGAAACAAATGAGTCAAATTCACAACACTAAGATAAAACCTGAAAATGGCAACATTAGCTTCCTTTGTTGAGGTTACTTCATATTTGAATGTAGGTTTATTTTGAAAGAAGCTCATGTATTGTGTTGACTTGTACCTTGCCAAGCAGTTTTAAAAGCAATTCATATTGTTGTCGTTTACTGATTTATTTCTTTGCTGTCAGTGCTACTCAGTCTTTATATAGAATTTTATTTTGATATTCATGGCTGTGATTAAAAGAGATTGGTTGCCATCACCCTATGATTTCCTATGAAAAACTGTTCACTCTGTGGGGACTCGTGTATAAAAAAGGGGGTCACGTAATGGTCGGTATTCTCTGTTGTTTGCAACACCAGGGTGTAGCCTTCAGAAACCAAAAAATTGTGGGGTGAGCTGTAACCGAAGCAGCATAAGGTTATGTAAGCAAAAGGGGTTCACTTCCAGTTCTTCTAGAGGAGAGCAACTTGAGCAAGTGATTGACATGTCATTCTATAAGCCAGTATTACCTAAGATGAGGAGTAGCCGCAAAGCTTAAACAAAATTGTAGTTGACTTAGCAGATTCTCAGGGGCCAAGCTTCTAAAAAACAATGTAAACTTAGCTCAGAATAATTTCGAATCCATTCAGCAGCACCACCCTCGCATTGCATGCCTTGAACTCGAGTTAGTTGCCGGCTTCCCAGCCGGTCATTTCTGTTCTGTTTTTTTATGAAGCTGGAGTGCATCCATAAAACATTCCACAAGCAGAAAAAGGCAAAAGAACATATGTCAAAATGTCAGGGTGTAGCTACTGTAACCTTATGGCGGCTCTTGGCTTTAAGTTCATATATGTTGTTGGGCAACTAAATTTAAAGCTAATTGCTATGACTGAGATGACACCCCCCTCCCACACCCCCATAAACAAATATCATCATTATAATCAAATCTGTAATTACAAGGTTCAACTGAAGGTGTAACGCAATATTGTAATGCATTACTTTTAAAAGTAACTTTCCCCAACACTGCTTTTAAATATACTTTAAGTATAACAGTAGTAAACTTTGAGTTCACAACTAGTTTACATCAATATTTTTAGCTTGTAGTGCAATACTAAAAGTGAACTTATAGGTATACTGATAGTTTACTAATTAAATACTTTTCGATCAACACCCCAAAGCTTGACAGTCATTATTACCTCTTCATTGGTCGACATTTTATTCCATAACGTTACACAGTTTTGATGCTGTTTTATGTCTGATGATCATGTTAGATTACATGTGGAAGCATCTGTTGTTTCAGTTTCTTCTTCACTTGTGTTTTTTTGGAAATTTTGTACAGAAGATGTGTACTAGTGCCCTCTACCGTATAACAATGAAAACACGGATTCTAGGAGCAAAAGTATAGCTCAAATATAATTAGACTTTTTTTTAAGTATAATTCAAATATACTTAAATGTCATTTTAAGTATATTTCTGAGAAGTACATAAAAAGTAGACTAAAAGTATACTTTCCTATTTTTTAGTTTAAAAGAAGTATACTAATAGCACACTTGAATATACTTCTTTTTCGTAAGCGGTCTTGGGCAGGGCACCTGTTAAAATCCATTCCTGTGGCACATTATTTAATGTATTTGTAAGATTAATTTACAAAGCACAGGGCACATAACAAGTAAACCCACTTGTTCATTAAAATCCCTTAGAATAGAAGATGGGGTAGTGTTTGGAAAACCTGTCTGATTATATTTGCAATTGCATTTGCAATTTTGTTTAGTGACACTGCATGGAGGCGCTCAAACTGCAGGCTTAACCTTGGTCAACTATGCATGTTCGCAAGCTTACATGTTGCAAGAACTTTGAAATCTATCAAATAATCTAAAACTATTTAAAACTACAAAGCTATAGGGTGAACTATCCCTTTAAAAAGCAATGGATATTGCATAATGAATAACACATTGAGTTCATTTGCGCATGGTCAAACCTCACAATTTTGTTGTCATATTTTATTTTATGCACTATAAAAGTAGTTTATTGTTTTGTAACTGTATGTTTTCATTATAATGTAGATTAAAGGATGCATTGTACATTCTACTGGGCTGGCAACAAATTCTTCCAAATTATTATTGTTTCGTTGTGGCAAAACATGTTATAGTCAACATCACACAAATGGTTTTGAATGTGTCAGGCTTTTGGCGTGCATCCTAGTTTATTTTTTTATTGCATCAGTTAAACAATGTACTGTAATTGCCCTGCTTTATGCCATAAATACTGTTTATGATGTATTGTGATAATTCCACGGATGTACAGACTGCCTTGTCAGTAATTGTCTCAGTTATGTGTGAACATAAGTACTCATTTAGCGACAAAAAGGGTGCATTTAACTGCTGCTGTAACATAGTCACTATAGTGTGCAGTGCCATATAGACATGTCCAGCCTGAAAGCTAACAGCATAATAGGAAACCTCATGAAGCAATGATCTTTTGCAGGAGAGTGAGCAATATTTATGACACTTAAGCAGCCAGGCACCTATTAAATTAGCTCTATACTGTTGCTATGGCATGGTTGAAAGTGTTCTTTTAACTTGTCAGAAGTCAATACGAGGGCCTGCACATGCATGCTTGGCATGGGAGAAAAGACCATAATGGGGTACCGCAGTTTGAAAAAAGAAGAAAAAGAGGAAAGAAAGTGTAATATTTTTAGTTCCAAATTACAACGTTGGAACTGTTGCTTTGCTCAGCCGATTGTCCGGGGACTGGAATGGCATGATGGGAGCAAAGGCACTGCCAAACTCCACCCAGGTTCTCTCCCTCCTTCCCTCTGCCCTCTCTGTGCTTCTCATCTCCCCTCTCAGCACTAAAATCGCAGACCAGGCTCCACCACCCCTTATTTCTGCTCTTCACCATCCCTCACCCGGGTCTCATCGGCAGTGGCAGAGAGAGCCATTCTTAACTCGCTGTGCGGTGAACCACTTTCATTAGTTGCAAGTGAAAGAGAAAAAGACATGTCATCGTAATGCAACCCTACTGTCAGGCCTGAATATTTGAGGATTGCACAAAACTATTCATCTGTGCAACCCTCCTTGATGTGAGACCAAGGTTCACAGAGTCGAGAAAACCCCTGTGTAACCCTATACTATTCAGTTCGTAGGTTTTCAACGGCATCTGCTCCTGCTTGCAGGATCTAAACACCTAATTGTTTTTTTTTCTGTCAAAACCAATAAAGAAACTGCTGAAGAAAGCCAAAAAGCTTGAAATTCAGTGCTTAGCAAGACTGTCACCTAAGAAAATGCAATTACTTATATAATTTCTCTCTATATAATTCTACAATACGCCTTGCATAACATTTTTTGTAAGGAGATGACTAAACATTTTGCATTTACAAATCCTATATTTTAGAGTAACTTTAAATATATATATATATATATATATATATATTATTAAATGTAGCCATTTACCTCAAAAAAAGGTGAAGTGTTTTGATTCTAATGTTTGACCCTACGTTCATGGGTACAGGATCTTCCACTACTCTGCGGGCACTGAAAGTACACAGACACTGAAGTTTACCATCTGCTGTGCCAAAATACCTGGCAACTGATGTGAAAACAACACAAGAAATCGTTTGTCTACCCTGAATTTGAGCTCTGAAGTTTAATGATAATAATGTCATTTTATACCCTTGCCACAAACTCCTACAATAAATTAGATAATGTCTACACCTCTTTTACAGCGAACAAAGGAGGGAAAAGCCCTATTTTAGAAGTTACGAGAGAAATAACTCAAATTAACTACATGTAACACGGAATCTCAAGATCCCAGTTAAATGGCCATTTAAGATTCTTTAGGAGCTAGTTCATGATATAACTACTATTATTGGAAAGGAAGCTGGCTTGCATCAATTGGAAGCTTGCATGAGTAGGTTTAAATGCTTGTTAGGAGAAAGAAAAAGTGGTGAAGTAACAAGACTGGCCTTAAGTAGAAAGTAAAGCTGTAAGTTTTAATTAAGTACACCCACAAAATATATTTTGAAACCAATGCATTTACTCCTAGCAATCCAGCTGGTTTTGAAGTCTTAATATATACTCTCTTTTATTCTTCTGAAGACATTTTAGCTGCATCTAAGCCACTTCAGATGATGGGGGAGGGTATGAGAGGGTATTGCCAATTTGAACGCCTTGTACGTAATTGACGAGAAAGAAACTGCACTCTTTAGCAGGTATTCCATGTCCATTTTTATAAGCAAGGGGAGGGGATGGTGGAGGATGGATTTCAGATGGCTTGCGATGACGAGGCTCAGGATTGGTGGATGCCGTTGTTTGGCATGGCCCCCTGCCAAGCACTTATGTCTTTATATACTGTAAACAGATGACTGACCAGTCCCGAGTGTGTCTCTGTGTTCACCCTCTCCTTCTGGCTCTCTCCATCTTCTCTTTCTTCTCTTCTTCATCTTTTCTGTAGACCTTTGCTGCATCTGTACACCCTCAAGACTCTTTCTCAACAAGACCGGGCAAAAACAGCAAACACATCCTCCTCCATAAAAACTCTTGAGTCACTTTTTCAAGAAACCGCCGGTCAAGCCTTCAGCTGTTTGCAGTGTCGGCGTGGGAGAAAGAAACCATGTCTCAGCAGATGTTATCCTTGACGGCGGTGTCCATGTGGCTTTTTGCCGGGTACTTCCTGGCAGAAGCAACATATTACAACCACCATATGTACAACCGCTACCGTGCGCTCAATCACCATGCCAGCATGGACAATCAGCTTCCTCCAGAGGTGCCTGTGGTGACGGAAGCAGTGGCCCCTCATCCAGTCAACTTCAGTCGCACCTTTTATGGGATCATGTTTGATGCAGGCAGCACCGGCACCCGTATCCATATTTACAAGTTCATTCAAAAAGACCCAGGTAAGTCCTTTCTCCATATTCCTGTTTTAGCACATTAAATGAGCTCTGGAGTTCCCCAGATAACTTACTTGCTCCTCTTGTAGCTAGAATTTGAATATTTTCCTCCCCAGATGTGTTGCTCTGATGGTCCTGACTCACATCCATGCTTCAGTGTAGCTTACACCATGAACTCAGAATTATCTTGAAGAGTCCCGCCTTGCAGACTCTGTGAATGGCTGCCCTCTTCATCTCTCTCTCTCTCTTGATCGCTTTCTCGCTGCATCCCTCTCAGGAGCCTGTGTGTCATAGCACGTCTGCTTACTGTGTCTGTGTTTGCCGTGGTTCATTCGCTGCATGGTGAGAAGGCAAACAGAAACACAGGGGTGGGAAGAGGAAAGAGGGATGGAGAAAGTTGGGTAATAAGCAGCTGCAGTTTCATTTAATAAATTGCATCCCTTATCAATATGTTAAAGACCATGGGTTTCAGCTGATAATGCAATAATCGGTTCCACAAAATACCCATCAAATGGAGACATGGCATCACTCCTGATGAGGTAAACTCTGAGCCTTGAGAAACTCTTAATTTTCCAGTCTGGAAAAATCTTGGTGGTCGCCATTTGTGGTAAACATACAATAACCAAACGTCTCTGCTCATGCACAATAACCTTAGGAGATGGAGTCGAGTTGCCCACAGTCCATCGCTAATGTGCACCTTCTAATAGCAGACGTCTTCAATTGTCCCCTCTGACTTTTCTGTCTGTCTCTGTGTCCCACAGTTGAGCTTCCAGTGCTTGACAATGAGATGTACCATGCCGTGAAGCCTGGACTGTCAGCGTATGCGGATATTCCCGAAGTGGTAAGCCACTAACTTTCTTATAACAACATCAGGGAATGTGTTACTTCTATTACATTCTAATAGCTTTGACTTTTTCCAGTCTCGTCTGCACAGTGCAAATGAAGAAATGGTTTTTAACATTTCCACTAAAGACAACATCAAAAACACCAAAAAGTCTTTATTCAGCAGTATGGAATTTTAATTCTAGATGGAGCAGTTATGCTTTAGTTTGTGACATTTGCAGATATTCTAGTAAAAACAGTTCACTTTATGCCAGTATTCTACTGGTGTGGTTCTCAACTATGTAACCACAAGACAAGTACATTGAAAAAGTTAATTCTCACTATTGAAACACCTTGTTGCTGGTAGACAAAAAAGTTGACAATTAACCTCATTATAGATCATGGTATTGTCAAAGGACAGGACTAGAATGGCTTTTTAGCTCACTTTGAGGAATACTTGTAATAATATTTACATGTTTTTAATTTTCTAGGGTGGAGAAACCATTAGGCAGCTGTTGAAGGTTGCAAAGAAGATGATTCCCAAAGAGCAATGGATACAGACACCTGTGGTTCTGAAAGCCACTGCCGGCTTGCGCCTGCTGCCTCAAGAAAAAGCCAAAGCTCTTTTGAATGAGGTAAGGCTTTCTCTTCTTCACAGACAGTTTAGTAGAGAAACCAACCATCCCGAAGGAATAAACCACGTTGTGTGCGAGACGGAGAGAAAGAAAGACAGGAAAAGTAAGAGAAGAGAAACCAATACTGTGCAAAAGCAGCTGTTCTGAGGCTGTCTGGAGTTGAAGGGACCCAAATGCCTTTTGAATTATCGTATTCAACGCCACCACACCAGCCGCACTTGTGGTTTCTTGCTTGCCCAGTTTCAGACAAATTTGCCCAAGATTGATTCAGTGAACTTCCCGTTGACTCCAGATAAAAAGAGCCGGCTTGAATTTTTATGTTGTAACAACCAAATGGTTTCTTTCTTTTTTATGGTGTACATTACAGAGGAACACATGAGTCATGAACTCTTAGATTTCTTTACATTGTAGAGCTGAAATTGCACACGATGGTTAATATGTGTAATTTCTGGTTTGTGTCCACAGGTCAAAGAAATTTTTGACGACTCTCCTTTCTTTGTGCCAAACAACAGTGTCACCATCATGAATGGCACCAATGAGGGTACTATAACCTTTCTCTGTTTACCACATCCAATCTGAAGCACAAATGTAAATTAAACCCACAACGTAATGCACAAACTTTGAAACATCCTTTTTACACCAGCTTTCCTGTGTCTGTTATTGTGATAGTGACCTTAGTGTTTAATATAGCTGTCTGGATTAAACCTTGTCTGGAAGCCTCCCACGCTCAATATAAAATAATCCTCCACATTTTTTAATTTAAGTTGACATTCGCTTTCATGAAAACTCAGACATTCATGTACTTGTCTTGTGGTTTTATGAGGTGTGACTAATTTCACATCTCAGACATGTTTAATTACCTGGGCTGGTCCTTGATGGCCCCACTGTAGATGTACAGATGTATACTTTCGATGGATATATTAGCCTACATCTTAATGCAGTACTATTGAATATATCAAAACTACTTGTTGGAGTTATCAAAAGGTTCAAATGTCAAATATTGTCTAAATAGTGACTGGTGTTTACCATGTTATTTAGAGCTGAGACTAAATACTTAAGTGTTCAAATTCTGCATCTCAACTGCATGGATTCTCTCTCTTACAGGGGTCTTGGCATGGGTTACAGTAAACTTCCTCACAGGTACAGTCATATGTTATTATAAGTTATTAAAGTATTCAGTTTAGCCTAAGAGTAGACCATGACTCAGCTCCCACCATGAGCTCTAAGAGCTAGCCCTAGATATATTTCTAACTTCCAATATACTTTTACATGCCTTTCATGGATTTGAATAACTGATATTAAACAAGTTTACTAAACCTTTGCACTGCAGGTCACCTGTATGCTAAAACAAGGAAAACTGTCGGGATCCTGGATTTGGGTGGGGGTTCAACTCAGATTACTTTCCTTCCTCGGTTAAAGGTATAATGATAAGATAAAACCACAGCTGACATATACTAGCTAGAATTTTCAGTAGTTTTTGACAGTGACACTGTTCTCCTCTTTCACAGAAAACTGTGCTGACTGCTCCTGCAGACTACATTGCCAAAATCAACATGTTCAACAACACTTTTGAGCTGTATACTCACAGGTCAGATAGCTTGACAATACTACAGTTATTGTGTCCCTTTACAGACAAAGACCAACAATATGTCATCAGTGGAAAAAAACAACATTTTTTTGCTTTTCCCATTTGCAGTTATCTTGGAAATGGACTAATTGCTGCACGACTGGCAACTCTTGGCGCTCTTGGTGCTGATGGTAATTATTAATAAAATGTTTTTATATTTTCTAACTTTGTTTCATAATGGATGATTATTCATTTCTCACAATGCTCGACCTTCAGGTCTTGACTGGAAAGTTTTCAGAAGTTCTTGTTTACCAAAAAAATTCAGAGAAGACTGGAGCTTTGGTGGACTCACCTACAAAGTCAGTGGAATCCCAGATGGTGAGTGACCTCAGTCTCATAATAAAGTCAGAATTATTATTATTATTGCATGCAGTTGCAATTATTGTGAACAATTCAATGTGATAAAGACTACCTTTCACAATTCAGTCAATTCTCAGTGGTTACGTCTCAGTACAATGGTCAATTCTCATCTAGTTACTACATTTTTGTTTTGATTAATATACTGTTTCATGCAACAATGTCACATTCACATTGACTTCAAGCTTCCATTTATAGTCAGAATAAAACTAAAATCTGCTCAGGGTCTTTTTCTGCCTATTTAAATAGTCAAGTTCACTCAGTTCATTCATCAAATGATTCAACACTCTCTAACCACAGACATGTAAAAAAGATCACATGCTTGGCATTTAGCCTAGCCTTTTCTCCCTTCAGCAATGTTATGGTGCAGAATTACCAGCTATGATAGGCCTTGTTAAGCAGTCCATATGGTTTCCAACTGGTAGACCTGACCAGCCAGTTAGCTCCAGGTCATATGAAAGCTGCCTATTTTGAGCTTCCTGTGAGGAAACCTCTCCCTGAAGAGTTTGTGGCAAACGCTCAAACTCACCACATTATGTTGTAAGGAGGCACTCTCCATTCAAGATACCTCAGATATCAAGCACAGGGTTAAGGTTAGGTTGGACCGCCCACAGAAGCCTTAATGTCTGTTTATACACTGGTTCTGGGTGTCCTACTGGAGGCGAAATTGAGTTTACAAGGTACTGGGTATATATGGGACGGACACTGCTGAGCAAATATACCCCAGCACAGCATAAAAAAACAAATTGTGATTGGTTGCTTCACATGTCCGTCAGACTGACTGCTCCTATCTAAACAGGGATTTCTTCAAAGTGGACCACCAGACTTTATATGGATGAAATTACTGAAAAAAAATTGAATAGACATTAATACAGTAAATACATCTAGCCCTTTATTTCCAGGTTTTGCAGGGTATAAGTTGTGCTACCAAGAGGTAATGCGGGTGGTGAAAGGGATTGTGCACCAGCCCTTTGAAATCAAGGGAAGCAGCATCTTCTATGCCTTCTCCTATTACTATGACAGAGCTGTAGAGTCTGGTCTCATTGGTAAGTAGGTCTACATTATGGATAAGGGTCAATGCTACGGAATATCTACAAATGATTAATCTTTAAAAGTTATGCTGAACAAACTGTATTGTCTCAATCATTTAGACGAGTCCCGTGGCGGTACTGTGGAAGTCAGGGATTTTAAAAAGAGAGCCAAAGAAGGTAAGACTTTGGATGTTCTCCCATTCTCCAAAGAACACTCAGGTCAAAGTCCTGCCGCACACATTGCACAAACATAAACCCTCGGTGCTTGTTTGCATTTGAGGTTCTCGACAATCACACTGGCTTCACAAAATGATAGCTCTGCCACCACATAAACATAGGTTGCACCTCTCCCACACAAATACTTCTGCTTGCGTGTGTTCACCTTTTTTGTAACTCTCCGACCTGCTATCTCAGCTTTTCCATGCCCTTACTAGAGGAATATGTTGTTAGTTCTTGAGCAGAATGTGACGCATATGTCAGTTTGAGACCTGAAATTGATTCATGGAATCTTGGTAGATTGTGTCCACTAGTAAATGTCCGCAGAGATGATTTATCGCTAGGGGGAATGAGTTGGCGCCTTATGTAAGGCTATTATTTGTACGCTGACACTGTCGCATGGTTTCGATGAACCGCATTTGGCACATCGGTTCACAGTGGCAGCAGCCCTGTAGATACCCACCTCCTGCCTGACCGTGAGACAACACCTAATGCTCAATATCTAACTGGAGGCAGGCAGGACGTAATGTCTCACCCTTTGCGGGAACACTTGGTATCGCTCGTCATTTGGAGCGCTATCAGCACTTGTGTACGACCTAGGGTATGAAATTATTCATTCCCACTTTCTTCCTCATCTCAAACTCTTACAAATCACAGTGTTAGCTGGAGAAAAAACAAAACATTGGGTAGACCTGTTTCACAAAGACATGCCAGACGGTTGTAGCAAACACAGTACTGGTGCCTCAGTGTCTTACCTGATTTTCCCCAGACTCTGACACACTGTAGCCTGACAATCAACAGTCTGGGACTCACGGGATAGTGTATACACTATGCTTATCATCTCTTGTGCAACATAGGAATCTTTTAGTCTTTTAATCTTGTCTTGGATTTTTATTGCCCAATTACTCACAGAGTTACAAAATATTTACATTTTCTGAAGAAAATGTGATTGGTGCTTGTCCGTGCAAAACTCTTCTCCATGAGCATTGCTATGTGGTTGCAAAACTTTTCAAAGTAGTTCTTAGTGCTAGGGTGTTCTGGGTGGTTGCTAGATACTTGCCACCACTTTCCTCAACAAGCCACCCAATTTGAAGCATAACTCATGTCTGTAGCACAGACTATGTGGGATGAGAAATGCGTCAAGGTTTAATACTAAGGCTCAAGGGTTTGTTCAAATCTCTAACTTTAAGTATGAGCAATAGTAAAAGCTTCCCTTAGCAAGCACAGCTAATTACTGTTCTTTGCTTTTTCTTAAACAAGTGTGCAACAAGATGACTAAATATCGTCCGATCAGCCCCTTTTTGTGCATGGACATGACCTATATCACATGCCTATTGAAAGAGGGATTTGGGTTCAAGGACAGCACTGTTCTGCAGGTGAGTGGAAAATATTAAAACAATTTAAAAATGTGAAACTCTGAAACTGTATGGGGAGGATCTAAAATTGGTCTCAAACCTATTTACTAGCTCAGTGTTTGAGCATTCAAAAGTAAATTGCCAAGAGCCAAAGTTAACATTCCTTGTCAGATGAAGTACCACAGATTAGGCAGCAGCATAATGGATTAATGATCTTCTTCTTTTAACAGCTTACTAAAAAGGTGAATAATGTGGAGACAAGCTGGGCACTTGGCGCCACCTTCGATCATTTCCACAAGCTCAACATTCATTAAAGCCTGCAGTCTTGCAGTGGACACCAGCATGAGGGGCAGCACAGGGGTCAAGCAGGTGCAAAACTCACCTGCTGAAGCAGCCCCTCTTTGTCCTTCTCCATAACTCTTTAATTGAGTTTCAGACCTGCCCTGCACTGCAGCCCTATATCACAACGCTCTCCCCTCTCATCAATTAAACACTTACAGAACTGTTCACAAAGAAATCACTATATTTTTGTAAAGATGGCCAGGCCAGCCTGCTATTTCTACTGTATGTTTAAATTTTTTTCAGTTGCCATCTCTCCTGAGACACTGTCTGCAAAGGTCCAGTGTTTAATGCACTCATTTAAAGCTCCTGATTCATGCTGTTGTGCAGTGGGATACATGTAAAAACATTGTAAAAATTAATTGTGTTGAGCTATTAATGTAGCTTCCTCTGAAGTAACTTGTTAGTAGTAGTGCTTGCACAGTAGTGTGGTGCTGTTTTAGGTTATGGTAAATTATACTGAAATTTCCATTTAGTGCCCCTATCTAGCATTTAACACTTTATAGAGTAGATGGTTCAGCTACAGCCATCTGTATATGTTTTGGAAAGTTGTTTGGGATCAGCAGCTTATCCTGGGGTTCATTGGGCAGGTAGAGATAAGGACAAATCATACATGTACAGTCACTTTACTCGAGCACATGAGTGCTGTTTTATGTATTAATGAGTAATGCATGTATTTATGCTTATCTGTTTGTATGTTAAGAAGCAGAATTGAAGAGCTGAGTTGAACATTTTTAGAAGCATATCACTCTTGGTGAAATTCTATAGGTGCTTTTTTTTTTTTTTTTTACCCAAGTTCTAACCAGATATGGTTTTTAACACTGAATTGCATGCAGTTGAATACACTTGCACTGCAGCCATTATCAAACTAAAAAAAGGTATATAAATGCTAACATGGCTCAGTACTTGGATAAACTATAACTCAAATGACTACTGGTTATTAAAGTAGACATTATGTTACTGTATTCAAAATGGAGTTATTTTTATGCCAACATGCAAACAGAGTTTAGAGTACCTTGAACCTCATTTATGTCTTTAAACTTGGGTTAGTTATTGTGAATGGCTCTAAGTCATTTTAGGCGGTCATTATGTAGAACAGTGTTGAAATGTTACTGCTTTGTGTATGCATAGATGCTCAGGTGTAATTGGGCAGAACAAGGTTAGATTTTGTGACAGGTGCATACTGCGGACCGATTTAGGACCAGTTTTTGGCAGTATCATGTTAAGTGTTTTTTGTGAATTATTGTACAAATATTTATTACATGAATACTTGCTAAATATGCAGTGTGCCGTTGTTGCATCTCGTTAATCCATCTGCTTCTTTAAAGCTGCTTAAGTATACCTTTTTATGTATTTTACTGTCTGTATATACACTTCAGTAATGTACTTTTTTTTTTTTTTTACCAGTTGTCATAGTTCAATGTATGACATGAAATCATGTACTGCTTTGCCAATTTGAGGTATTCTCGACAGCAAATGCTATAAATATGCTTTCCAATTCAATGTTGTGTATGAAGTGATAGCCTATTGTACATGAATAAAACATAAGAAAGATCTGTTGTTTAATAGCTTAACTAAATGGGATTTTAAAGATAAAATACATCTAGCCTACAAACCTCTCTTGATCCATCAAGTAGATCTAGCTTGAGGTATTTTTGAACGTTACAGATATTTTTCTCCCAGTGTAGAATAAGGTTGACGACGTAACAGCATTAACGGTAGTATAAGTAAAAAAATCTATGTAAAAATCATATCTAAACTATGTAGACACGAAGTACATAGCAAACATTATAGACGATTATTGCTTGCTTACCTACTCAGAATGAGATGAATGTATTTCCTTGTTGATCAAACTGGGAAGTAATAGGAAGCAACCATTTTACTGTCAAGTCGTTTACCTCCATTATCTACAGTGGGCGAATTAAGATGGCCAGGCCAGCCTGCTATTTCTACTGTATGTTTACATTTTTTCAGTTGTTGTCTCACCCGAGACACTCTGTCTGTCTGTCTGTCTATCTAAGTTGGCAGTTTTCAAAGTTTCAATGTTTAACTCACCCATTTAAAGCTCTTGATTCATGCTGTTGTGCAGGATATCGTGCAGTGGGACACATGTAAAAACATTGTGTTTATTATTGTAGCTTCTGTAGCCTCTTCTGCTGTAATCTGTTATTAGTAGTGCTTGCACAGTAGTGTAGTGCTGTTTTAGGTTATGGTAAATTATAATGAAATTTCCATTTAGTCCCCTATCTAGCACGTAACACTTTAACGTAGCTGGTTCAGCTACAGCCATCTGTTTTGGAAAGTTGTTTTGGATCAGCAGCTTTAACCTGGGGTTGATTGGGCAGGTATAGGAATAAGGACAAATTATACATGTACAGTCACTTTACTTGGGTACATGAGTGCTGTTTTACATAATAATGAATAATGCATGCATTTAGGCTTATCCGTTTGTATATTAAGAAGGTTAGCATAGCAGAGTTGAAGAGCTGAGTTGGAACATTTTCAGAAGCATATCACTCTCTATTTTTTATTTTTTTTTAGCCAAGGTCTAACCAGCCATGGTTTTTAACACTGAATGGCATGCAGTTGAATACACTTGCACTGCAGCCATTATCAAACTAAAAAAAGGTATATAAATGCTAACATGGCTCAGTACTTGGATAAACTATAACTCAAATGACTACTGGTTATTAAAGTAGACATTATGTTACTGTATTCAAAATGGAGTTATTTTTATGCCAACATGCAAACAGAGTTTAGAGTACTTTGGACCTCATTTATATATTTAAACTTGGGTTGGTTATTGTAGATGGTTCATTATGTAGAACAAGGAGTCATTATGTAGAACAGGGAGTCATTATGTAGAACAGCATTGAAACGTTACTGCTTTGTGCATGCAGAGATGCTCGGGTGTAATTGAGCAGAACTTTGTTAGATTTTGTGACAGGTGCATACTGCTGACCGACTTAGGACCAATTTTTGGCAGTATCATGTTAAGTGTTTTTTGTGAATTATTGTACAAATATTTATTACATGAATACTTGCTAAATATGCAGTGTGCCGTTGTTGCATCTCGTTAATCCATCTGCTTCTTTAAAGCTGCTTAAGTATACCTTTTTATGTATTTTACTGTCTGTATATACACTTCAGTAATGTACTTTTTTTTTTTTTTTACCAGTTGTCATAGTTCAATGTATGACATGAAATCATGTACTGCTTTGCCAATTTGAGGTATTCTCGACAGCAAATGCTATAAATATGCTTTCCAATTCAATGTTGTGTATGAAGTGATAGCCTATTGTACATGAATAAAACATAAGAAAGATCTGTTGTTTAATAGCTTAACTAAATGGGATTTTAAAGATAAAATACATCTAGCCTACAAACCTCTCTTGATCCATCAAGTAGATCTAGCTTGAGGTATTTTTGAACGTTACAGATATTTTTCTCCCAGTGTAGAATAAGGTTGACGACGTAACAGCATTAACGGTAGTATAAGTAAAAAAATCTATGTAAAAATCATATCTAAACTATGTAGACACGAAGTACATAGCAAACATTATAGACGATTATTGCTTGCTTACCTACTCAGAATGAGATGAATGGATTTCCTTGTTGATCAAACTGGGAAGTAATAGGAAGCAACCATTTTACTGTCAAGTCGTTTACCTCCATTATCTACAGTGGGCGAATTAAATTCGCGACAAATTATGAAAACTGCAACGGCATGCCAATAATCGCGCGTCTGTGTGAATTTTCACGAGATATAAGGTAATTTGGTTAAAGGGTTGCTAGAGCGATCTGATATGTATACATAGTAGACTTTTTATTTGTCTTCATTAGTAAATTATGAATTAGGACACTGGAATCCTATTCAAAATATAAGTTTATGCCAAGATACATTTTGCATCACTTACAAATACTTAATTCCCAATGTAGTTCTGATGTACACCTTTGCCTTACAAATTCTGGCAGTAGTGAATCTCCAACATAATGCAAATTACGTGCTTAAAGCTATGTATTATTATACCTTTGACTTAGGAAGCCTAATTTAGTTTTGACAGCTGCTCCACAACTTATAAAGAGAAAACTTTCTACAACCAGTCCGTTCCTGTACAAAACTGAATACATTAGGTCATAAAATAATGTTTGTGAAATCGTAACAACTGAGAGAAGTTACGACCATATAGATTTATGATTTATGAAATATAAATCAATATATATATATATATATATATCGATTTATGAAATTTGATGTTCTTCCAGAAACATGTTAAGAAACATATTTGGTACACATACACATTTACTTTCTATTAGTATAGTAAAGGTGGCAGAGTAGTAGTTACATCTTCATATGGGTGATTGGAAAAGATGGCATAAAAATGTTTTCCTACAAAGACCGAGGAATAAAATATAATTTATTAATTTACACATACATTCCATGAACAAAATCGTCTAACATTAGAGATCCAGCAAACATCCAGTTTGCAGCTTAGTGTTTTACTTGCTGGCGTAGGCCATGATCTGCTCCTGTGGGTACAAGAAAAAAATATATAACTTGAGGTAAGTGACTTACAGGTAAGCAATAGTCATAATTCACAATTGATATTTTATAGTTTTAATTTGAGAAATGCACGTCTTCCCACTTTTAATCATGACGGGTGACACTAGTCCTTCTAACATTACATTAGAGGCACATAAACTGGCTGTAACATCTATAATAGAAACGGCAAATGTGGGAGATATCCCTCAAGGCTTAAGACAAGTTACGGGCCCTCTGGTTGGAACCTCTTAGTAAAGGAATGAAGCCATTTCATAAGAGTGGCCTGTAATAAAAGGAGTGTGAAAACACAAGCCAACACCACCATGCACAGCCCTGCAACTCCACCCACACACTTTCGGTAACAGTAAATTTAGGGCTAAACATAGCCATAGTAGTAGCTCCTAACCATGTAAATTACAGGCACGGATAAGAGTAGAAAGGCATGTAATCAGAGGACAAGATGGGGGGGATGGGGTTAGAGAGGGGAAGAAGTCAGAGGAAGAGTGAAAGAGGGAGCAAAAGTTGGAGAGGTGAAAGAAGGCTGAAGCTGGAAGCAGAACAAAGCAGAGAAAGAGGCATAGATGACAGAAATGAACGAGAACACGAGTGGACTGCCACAGAGCTAAGGAAAAGAACAAGGTTCAAAATAATGGAATACGATGG